CGTATCCATGAGTCTGTCTCTGTTCTTGTTTGCTTAGCTTTGTTTTTAGATTCAATTGTTTTTTTTTTAGATTTTTATTTATTTATCTTTAGAGGGGAAGGAGGAGGGGAGAGAAACATCAATGTATGGTTGCCTTTAGTGCATCCCCTGCTGGGAATTTGCCTGCAGGGAACTGGCTTGCAACCCAGGCATGTGCCCTGACTGGGAATTGAACTGCGATCCTCTGGTTCGCAGGCCCGTGCTCAATCCACTGAGCTACACCAGCCAGGGCTTCAATTGTTGATAGATATATATTTATTGACATTTTATTGTTCATAGTTTTGATTTGTTTCTTCTTGAATAAGTCTCTTTAACATTTCATATAGTAATGGTTTGGTGATGGTGAACTCCTTCAGTTTTTTCTTATCCAGCAAACTCTTTATCTTCCCTTCAATTCTAAATGATAGCTTTGCTGGATAGATCAATCTTGGCTGTAGGTCCCTGCTTTTCATGACTTTGAATATTTTTTGCCAGTCCCTTCAAACCTGCAAAGTTTCTTTGAGAAATCCCTGACAGTCTTATGGGAACTCCCCTGTAGGTAACTAACTGCTTTTCTTTTGCTGCTTTTAAGATTCTCTCTTTGTCTTTAACCTTTGGCATTTTAATTATGATGTGTCTTAGAGGGCCTCTTTGCATCATTTGTTTGGGACTCTCTGTGCTTCCTCAACTTGCATGTCTCTCTATTTCCTTCACCAAATTAGGTAAATTTTCTGTCATTTTTTTTCCAAATAGATTTCCAATTTCTTGCTTTTTCTCTTCTCCTTTTGATACCCCTATGATGTGAATGTTGAAATCCATGAAGTTGTCCCAGAGGCTGCTTACATTGTCCTCTTTTTTGCATTCTTTTTTCTTAAATTGTTGTTCTGATTGGTTGAGTTTTGCTTCCTTATGTTCCAAGTCATTAATTTGAGTATTGGCTTCATCCACTCTACTGTTGTTTCTCTCTAAATTGTTCTTTATTTCAATTAGTGTATCCTTCATTTCTGACTGAATCTTTTTTATGCTGTCGAGATCCTCACTAAGTTACTTGAGCATCCTTATAACCAGTGCTGTGAACTCTGCATTTGATAGATTGCTCATGTTTATTCAGTTTAGTTCTTTTTCTAGAGTTTTGATCTGTTCTTTATTTTGGGCCATGTTTCTTTGTCTCCTCATTTGGCTGCCTCCCTGTGTATGCTTCTATGTATTAGGTAGAGCTGCTTTAACTCTGTGTCTTGGTAGTGTGGCCTGTAGGGTCCAGTGGCACAGCCTCTTCTATCAGTAAAGCTGGGTATTTGAGGTGTGTCCTTCGTGCAGGCTGAGTACACCCTCATCTTGTAGATGAACATTGATTGTTGTTGGCAGATCAGCAGGAGGGATTTTCCAGGCCGGTTAGCTGTAAAGACTGGCTATGACTACTGATCACCAACCTCCACCCTTCGTAGAGGATCAGCTTTGCAGGGCCAGGGTGGTGGTGCTCCATCTTGGTCTGTAGCTGTCTACTGGATGCACAGGCTCTTGGATTTTCCGGGTGGTGCAGGCCAAGGTCAGCCTCCACCTGCATTTTGCCTGGGGCCACCCTACCTGACCTATTAAGCAATTTGAGATGGCTACCACTTGTACTGGGCTTGGAGATTTTCAGGCTAAGCAGATCCGAATCTAAGTTGGCTGTTGCTAGTGCTGGGCCAGGGGCCACTTAGCAAGAAATACAGAGATTGGGGGCTCACCGAGGCCAGCTATTGCTTGTTTGAGAGGATTTAGGAAGTTGTGAAGCATGAGTCAAGACCAGGTATTCACATGGAAAAGCCACTGTTAACAGCTTGGGTGGGCCCATAATTTGGTGGGATGGAGCCTCAGGGGATCTCCAAGGTAGGACAAATAATGTGAGCCAGGTTGAAGGAGTCTCAGATGTGACACCCATCTGCTGGCTCTGTGGATCTGCAGGCGGAGGGTTCAGAAAAAGGACAATGACCTCTGCACGCCCTTCTGTCTGGGAGAAAGCTGCTCTTGCCTTGATGCTAGATACTCCAGTTTCTTCCTGTATGCCACCGGTGACCTTTAACCTTCAACCCCCCTGCTGGAGCCCAGAGGGAAAGTATCTGAGTAAGTCTGTGTATGGGTTCTTTAAGAGGAACTGCTTGGGACTCCAGAAGTTTCTTCCAGTGAGTCAATTCCTGCTGGTTTTTGCAGCTAGGAGTTATGGGGACTTCTCTTTCTGACACTGGAATCCTGGGCTGGGGGGCCTGGTGTGGTGTTGGGACTCCTGGGTCCTGAGATACTCTTCCCAAATTTTTATCCTCCATATACAGATGTGTGACCAGCATATTCCGTGTCTCCACCCCTTCTACCAGTCTGGATGGATGTGGTTTCTTTAATTTCATAGTTGTCAGACTTCTGTTCAACTTGATTTCTGATGGTTGAGTGATGGTTGTTCTGTTCTTTATTTGTAACTTAGATGTGATTGTGCATGGAGGTAAGCCATGTTTACCTATGCCACCATCTTGACTGGAAGTTCAAATAATTCTGTGTTGGGAATTGTTTCATTGCATTTGGGAAGATAGAAATAGATGTCTAAGAGGCATCAGTGTGTGGTTGCCTCTCACATGCCCCCAACTGGGGATCTAGCCCAGACCTAGGTGTGTGCCCTAACCGGGAACTGAACTGGAGACCCTTTGGGTCACAATCTGGAGGCCGGTGCTCAATCCACTGAGCCACACCAGCCAGGGCCAGTGATCTAATTTAGAGGCAAACAATCCAAGACTCAGAGAAACTAAGTGATTGGGGCTGGTGTAGTCAGTAAGAGAGCATGGGACAAAGGAAAAGGGAGACAAAGACACGCAAAGATTCTGGAGTCAGCTGCCTGGGTGTGAAGCCAGCTGTTCCATTTTGGGCAAGTTAGTTAACCTCTTTACTTCAGTTTCCTGTTCACAACGCTATGAGGATTGGATAGTTACATAAATGATGATATGCAGAGTAAACAGAGCATGGTATGGGAAGGTCACAACAGTGGTGGCCAGAGCCAGCTTGGGGGCTCTATTGTTAAGGGAAGGAGTTTTTGTGAGTCAGCTGTTGAATACATTTATGATTAAGAATTATATATAAACTCACAAATTATATTAAAATGTGCTCGGAATGCACCTTACTAATTACTTTGCTATGTATTTTTTGTTGTCTATGCTGTGGTGATTATTTTATTTTTTAATTTTTTTAGATTTATTTATTTATTTATTTATTTATTTATTTATTTTAGAGAAGGGGGAAGGGAAGGAGAAAGAGAGAGAAAGAAACATCAACCAACGTGTGGTTTGCCCCTTGCATGTCCCCAGTTGGGGACCTGGCCCACGACCCAGGCATGTACCCTGACTGGGAATCAAACCAGTGACCCCTTGGTTCGCAGTCCGGTGCTCAGTCTACTGAGCTACACCAGCCAGGGCTGATTATTTACTTTTAGTGTATCTGTGTGGTAGAGATGCTATATAATGGTGTCCTAACCAGATCTGTGTTAAATGAAGTGACTTTGATAGCTTGAAATGGCCACAAGGCAGTGTTAACACTACAGAAGTTGTCAAATGCTAAAAGTGTCACTCTTCCTACCCCTCTTGCTGCCATCCCCCGAACCAACTGATTAATATTTACCAGGATATCTCTGTCTATGACTTCTGTGTTGTATATTTGCCTGTTTATGTGTTTGGCTTTGCTTTGGGACTGTGAGTTCTTTGAAGTTTGGAATTTATATCCCTAGTACTCAGCACAGTCTTAAGCATATAGTTTGTGGAGTGAATGAGTGAACTTTATGTTCATTCAGTCTTTCATTAAACTCTGGTTCAATTACTTTAATAGCTGTGTGACCTTGGTTATTTTATCCTCTGTTTATTAGTAAAATAAGGATAATAACACCAGCTTTGCATGCTTGTGAGGATTAGTGAGAAGACCTGGATATCTGTCTGGTACATTATAGGTGCAAAAGCATAGTCAACATTTATGATTATAACCTTAGAGGATACATAAATGCTGTTAGGATCCAGACATATATTGTATGCAGTGCTTTGTATTAAGTGTTTGACCACAAACTGGATGAGAATCAAGAATGTGGCACTGTTATTTTTGTGTGTGTACTTACTTCTCCTTCCCACACAAAATAATGGGATATATTAAAAGCAATATGATATATAAGAGGCAGGAAGCAGTCCCTCTGTTATATTTGGCTTTGTTCATGCTCTTATTACAGTATCATGTCCAGTTTTACATTGCTCATTTTAAAGAGGATGTCAAAAAACTATATGGAGAGTGTCCTGGGAAGAACTAACAACTATGATTAAAGGGATAGAAAATAGGTCCTTTGAGGCAAGTTTAAGGAATAGAGTTTGTTTATTCTGGAAAGGAGACGATAGAGGAGTCTCTTAACTGTCTTCAAGTCCATGAAGGGTTATTGTAAGGAGGATACTCGCACGTTGTTCCCCAAATGCACAGAGGACCGAAAGAGGAAATGGGCTTATTTCATTGAAAGAAAATTGTGTTAAAACACTGAAATGGACTATCAAGGGATGTCATGGAATGTCCATTTTTGAAAATATTTAAAAAGAGCAGCAGCAGATGGTTATTTATTGAAAGGTTTAAATGTTTAACCTCTTGAAAGTAACAGACAGGATTGTAGACCTTACAACTTTTTCTTCCTCTGTGATGTGATTTTCTTAAATTTATTGTAATTTAACAAGCATGTTCCAGATATCTTACTTGGAAACCATTTATAATTTGATAAAGTTATTATTTAGCTTGCATTGCTGGATTTGAGTTTATCTTGAATGAAAACATTCAGTATTATCTGTTTGCTAGTAACTAAATTGAAGTTAGTTTGTATATAAAACAGTCTGCATTTGTGTTTTTATGCTATTCTAGGCATTTCTGAAGCATTACTTACGAGTGTTTAGTACTAATATTTTTTTCAAGTAGTGCATTACAAACCTGTAACTCCTTTATGACAGGGAATCCTCTTGGTCTATGATATTACGAATTATCAGAGCTTCGAGAATTTAGAAGACTGGTATACTGTGGTGAAGAAAGTGAGTGAGGAGTCAGAAACTCAGCCACTGATTGCTTTGGTGGGCAATAAAAGTAAGTTATTAATGCTTATTTATATTTAGTAAAGTTTATTTGCCTATTCTGTTGTTTTTATTTCAAAAAATTGATGTCTGGAAACAAAAATAGATACAGTTTTCGTGTAGTAATCTAATTGTCGGAGGAGAAAAGTCCTGAAGATATGTCTTCTCGTCACAGTTTGGGTGATTGCTCTGTCATAACTGCTCTGCTTCTTTGGCCAGTTCCTGTTCAGGTGAGTTCTGTTCTGACAGAGTCTTTCGGCTTCCTGTGGTTGAAGGAAGCCCTGTGGACTCCTAAGAACCGCAGCGCAGCTGCAGCTTTTATGATCCTGCACTGCAGCTTCAGCTCTGCCCCAGAGATTTTGGGAGACACATTTCATTGGTGACCCCCGTCCTAGGGAAGGACGCAGTGTCTGTGTCTCAGTCTGTGTGCACTGTTTCTTCCTCATAAAGTTCGTTTTCTGCATTTTTAAGGTTCTGAAATATAGAAATTTTTTCTTTTTTTAGAAAGTGTGTCATAATGGGGGAAGTGTAGTGCTTGGTAAAAACGATGGATAAGTAATTTTTGATATCTGTCTTTTGGGCAGCGATACACAGCATATAAAAATTATAAGACTGAATGCAGTATAAGACTGTTACTTGGTTTATCATCTTGCAGTGCAGTTACTTGGAAAAGAAGTACTTAATAAGGATTTTCAAATATAGAAAACATTGTGATATGACCTACTCTTTTACAACTATTTGAGGACAGAACAAGAGAAAATTAATTCAAATTTTACCATGGAGGACTTAGATCAGGAATTGTTTCCTGACTACAAACATTGTTAAATCAATACCCAAGTACGCCACAAAGAGAATCATCTTCTCCAAAGGCCTTTAAAAGTATAGTGCATTTTTTTTTGTCTGTAATTGTTTAGGAAATAGTTCTTCCTGAAGGACTAAACCAAGATTTCTTCTCGTGTGGTTTTGCACACTTAAATGTACATTTAATAAATCCAAGCCTTACTTTTAAACCATTACAAAACAGGTGTGAATATCATTTCTCTGAAGAGTTAAAAATATAAAACAATTAAATAAAAAGAATATGTTAAGAGAAAAAAGAAAATAAAAATAAAAAATAAATCTACTTATAAAGGAAAAATATATAAATTTTATATTGTTTTTAGAAAACAGTATTACATATCACAAGATGGATAACTTGAGTAAAAGATACAGGTTTTTTAAGCTTTAATTTAATTTTACTCATCTATTTTATAAATAATTCTAATTGAGTGAATCAGATACTTTTCAATTTATTGAAATCCTTCTTTATAAATCACAAATCTGATGAGCTTAGGTTCTATTTCTAAGTGGAACTTTTCATTTTAGGAGATCATTTCTTGGTCATTATGCCACCAAAGCATTAGGTTATTTTATGGTTAAATTTGTGCTTTATTTGAGGTTTCCCATCACCTTTTGGGAAATTATAGAGTAGGGAAGGAATGGAGGTTGGGATTTGTTTTCATTTCTCTCAGGATACAACCTAACTACCATCTGGAGCAATGGTGCATAATTACATATATTATGCGTTTATGCTGTCCTGTGAGGGATCCAGCATCGGTCACTGTCAAAGACAGGATATCAGAGTGGATGGGCTGTTAGATTGTGCTGGTTATGCCTTTTCTATGTAAAAGAAATTTACATAAGTTACATGAATTCATAAAAAATTATTGTAGTGTTATGTTTGAGATTTAATAGCATAAAATCAAGAGTTTTTTTTTCCCTGTTGGCTTGGCTCTAACCTCTATTTATAATACTCTCTTTCAGAATGTGATCATATAATAGAGTATGCAGTCACACAGAATGTTAAATACATAAAATGAAGAGATTATAGATGAACATTTCCCTGAATATTATTTACTGTATAATCTGTCGCTGGCTCAATTTCATCTGATCATATAATGAAAGAGGTTACAATTTTTGTTTCTAAGTTGATATATTAATATAGTAGTATGCATTCATTTTCCTTTTTGGGGATAAATTTATATTAAAAAGCAAAGACTTTACCTACTAGTTAAAGGCAAAGGAAAAAAGCATAATGAAAAGACATCTGAAACTGGATTATTACACTAATTATCTGTGCAATTCTTCTGCCTATTTGTGCATTTTAAAATTCATCATTGTGCCCAATTCTTTGCTTCTTTATGTGTAGCATGTGTGTAGGCCGTGAATATATTGGCAGCTGTAGCCAGCTTTTAGCCAGAATTTAGTAGAACAGGAAAGAAGATTTCCACACAAAGTGCGTATATGTGCGTATCTGTGAATTTGTTCCATAGGAAGAGCTTATAATTTGTTGTAAAATCATTTGCTTTTTTTCTGCTTTTTATTAAAATATAGTAAACTCAGAAATTTGGGCTGATGATTAGGCGATAGTCTTAGGTAAGGGTGAATCATGGGTTTATTTTTGTAAAAAATTTGGTTTCATTATGTTTAAGTATGAAGAGTAACTAGAACAGGTTAATGAGTAGTCAGCAGAGGAAGGGACTTGCTTTAATGACAAAGACAGAATTGGTAATCAGTAAATTATTTTAGTATATGATACTTAAAAGTATGTGATGCTTAAAGCACATTTATTGAATTCATTTTATTTGACACTCTGTTCTGAGAAGCTGTAAGACATTAGTTGGTGTTCTTTCTTTGTACTAATTAAGATTTCAAGTGAAATATTGAGTGTGACTTTGAATTTAGACAGGCTTTGTTCACAAGCCCAGTTTTCTCACTTTACAGCATTGCGACATCAGACAAGTTGCTTTACATCTCTAAGCCTCCCTTTCCTCATTTGGAAGTAAGGGTAATAGTTCCTGTTTGATAAAGTTGTTTCAAAAAAATTAAATGAGATATGACATGAAAAGCACAGCATGTGGTCTGATCCGATATAAGTGCTCAATAATAGTTATTATTATCTTAATCATAGTAGCCTTTTATTAAAAAAATCCTCACCTGAGGATGTTTATTGATTTTACATAGAGAGGGAGAGGGGAAGATCAGAGAGCAAGAGAGAGAGAGTGAGAAACATCCATCGGTTGCCTCCCATAAGTGCCCAACTGGGGATTGAACCTACAACCTTATGGTGTATGGGATGATGCGCCAACCAACTGAGCTACCTGGCCAGGGCAATCATAGTAGCCTTTTAAAAGCACTGACTGTAGCCTCAATTTGAATGATCACAAATTATTAGTCAGTAGAGCTGAAATAGAAGTTTTATCAAAGTGGCTTTGTTTTTGTTCCAGATTAATAATTCTCAGACCATGTGCTATAGGGCAGTTCATTCAGCAAAGATTCTTGTGTGCCAGTTATGTGTATTCACAGATGGCCAGTGTGGATTTGCACAAAGGTTGAACCAGAGTATTTAAGGAGTGATTGCACTTGCTAACCTGGGTCTTAATTTTGATCTTTTTCTCTACCATATTCAAGTTTTCTAAAACTTTGTCCTTTTTTGCTATTTGGTTATTGAGATTAATAAATATAGTATATCCAAATCTTCATAGAACACCTTACTTTTCCCTAGTGAGTAAAAATAAACTCCTGCTAGGTAAATTTCAAAATGAGGAAGGGGTAAGTCGTTTACTTATTCATGCATTTTATGGGAACTTCTGTTGAAGTTCGATGATGTCTATAGCCCCATGTAGAATAAGATATCTGACAGGCTACAGATCCAGCCAAATCAGCACCAAGAAACAATTACAGTATATTACCATCTAGGGTAACTTCTGCAGTTCAGGGGACCAGGGCCACCAGGCCTAATAATCAGTTTCCTGACCTTAAAGATCTTGTTCTTCCAGCATTGGGACACTCACTTGATCAGAGCCTACACTGAAGAGCCTAGGGATTTTCAACACATGTCCACTTTGGGGCTTAATACAGGTGGACCTTGGCTGTGGCCTAAAATAGCACCATCACCTCTCATTTGAACTACTGTAGTAGCCCCATTACTGTTCTTCCTGCTTCTAGCTTTGCTCTTATACTATCCAGTTCTCAAGCGGAAAATTAGTATATGAGTGTTCAGCTTAAGCCCTCTAATGCCTTCTCATCACACTTAGAGCGAAGTCCAACGCCTTATTCAAGTTTGTCAAGCACTAGGTCATCTCAAACCTCATCTTCTACTACATGCTCCCTTGTCCACTGTATGCATAAGGCACGTTTGTCTTGTTTCAATTCCTAAAACATTCCAAGTTAATTTGTACCTTAGGGTTTTCTCTGCTTCAAAGGCTTTTCCTCCTGGTCTTTGTTTGGCTGGCTCTGTTTGGTCATTTGGATCTCATCTTACATGTCCTCTCCTTGGAGTTGCCTTCCTCAGCCACTCAGTCTAAAGGAGCCATCTAGTCCCTTTCTGTCAGGACCTTCTGTTTCTGTTATCTGCATATTCTCTTTGCCACCTGATACTGTTTCCTGTTTGTTTCTTGTCTCTTTCCCCACTGAAATCTAAGCCCTGTGAAAGCTGAGGACCTCATCACTTAGAACAGCGCCTGAATGAATGAATACTGAATGAATGAATAAAAGCCTTTTCATGAAGGCTGTTGAAATTAGAAGTGTTTATGGCCCGGGATGTGTTATTCAGGGAAAATGGTTTTCTTAATGAGGAAAAATACATACGTAGATACAGGAAATCTGTCAGATGGCCTTCAGGGCCAAGTGGCCTATTGGATTTCATCATGGTGACCAACATCAGAGAGAGTTTCTTAGGAAATACATCAAAGTTGAACTGTACTGGATCATCTTTGAGATAAAATGTCATAGATTTTATGCCATGAATTTAGAGTAAGTGAATATAAGAGAATTAAGAATTTTGCTTCCCCCCCAACATGTGACTTTTAAATAATGGTAGAACCCTATACTTTTACTTTTGAAAATATTTTTTTGTGTTTAATTTAAAAAATCATAATCTGTACAATTTTAATTTTTTTCCCAGTGTTTCAGGAAAAGTTCAAATTGAAATGAAATGAATATTTAGGAGTATTAATTTTTTTAAAAAATAAT